GAGCACGAAAAGAGACGCATCAATAGAGGGAGCCATTATGGGCTTAATGAGAATCTGGCACTAGGCATTGTACAGAGATCCACAAAGATGACACCAACTAGGACCCTAAGCAATAGAGGAGAGGCTACCTTAAAAGCCCTTCCCCTATGATGAGAATGATGACTACCCTAAATGCCATCCTAGAGCCTTCATCCAGTAGCTGATGGAAGCAGAGGCAGAGATCCACAGCTAAGCACTGAGCCAAACTCCTGGAATCCAGTTTCAGAGAGGGAGGAGTGATGAGCAAAGGGGTCAAAACCACACTGGGAAAACCCACAAAAACAGCTGACCTGAGAAAGTGGAGATTCATGGATCCCAGTCTGACAACTGGGGAACCAACATAGAACCAAACCAGGCCCCTGAACGTGGATGTCAGTTGGAGTACTGGGCAGTCTATGGGGCTGCTGGCAGTGCAGGATATATCCCTAGTGCACAAATGGACTTTGGGGGCCCGTTTCCCATGGTGGGATACTCTCTTAGTCTAGATACACAGGGGAGGGCCTAGGCCCTGCCCCAAATGACTTGACAGATTTTGATGATCCCACATGGAAGGACTCACTCTCTCTGGGGAGTGGGTGGGGGATGGGATGGGGAGTCAGTGGAGGCCATGGGAGGATGGGGGGGAGGGGGAACTAGGATTGATATGTAAAATAAGATTGTTTCTAGTGTAAATAAATTTATATAAAAAAATAAGGTGGAGAAAAAAGTGAACTGTGTGCAGTTAGCCAACCTCAGACTTATATCAGGTACCAGAGCTAACTGACTTTGCTTGGGCAGTGCACAACACCCTAACCCTGACCTTACATATTTGGATAGGCCTTACAACTGGGAGTACTGTACATTTGTCTTCTGTGTATAGACACCCTTGTCAAAATGCTGTCTGCTAAAAATGGAGGGAAAACACTGGTGGGAAAACATTAGACACTGGTGAAGGCCAAGGCTTTCATTTCAAAAGACTGTCAGGAGCCCTTGGCCTGAGCATATTGTTGTCTACTTTGACCACCATGTCTTCATCTGTAGAAGGGAGTACATGGACAGGTTGCTTTTCTTTAGAGGGAGTGGGGCCTTGTGGGACAAATATCCAATATATTTCAAGTTTCTGGTCATGCTGACAGTACCTGAGAGGTGATAGCTTTGTTTTGAATTTTAAGGACATTAAAGGAAGTCTATGTTTCAGTTATTTTAGTAATTTTCCATCTGCCTTGTTACTCTGAGAAATTGTATCTCCATATAAAATTAAATAGTTTGGAGAAAAGTATTCATAAATGTTACAGTTATAGGTAGCCAGCAGTAAGCTATACATAAAGTCTTTATTTATGTTGTTTTCAAATTCTCAGTGTAATCACATCTCTGCTTATATTTACTGATTTTACTACATGTTGTTATTATTTCTCCTGGGAAAAACTATACAGACCAATTCCTTCAGACCACTTTAGCATTGTTGTGGGCACTTAAAGGCAGAGACAGATAAATCAGCTTTACTCCATGTGAATGAAGCTGGTACTTCTTACTAGAGACATTGAGAAAGAGGAGGAATGTGTCCCCAACATCTGTGCCATTCACATAGAAACCCTGTAGGTAGACTATTCCTTGTCAGCTGCTGCTGAGGCACAAAGAAAGACTCTCCAAACAAGCGCAGCAAGGGCTGACAGCCTGGGGTACACTTGCTACACAGGTACCAGGCACAAAAGCTGACAGGAAATTGTTAAAGACCACAACTAAGTTAGAGGGGCTTCTTTGGTATTGCTGGCAGTTACTCAGAGAAGTCTTTATACTATTAAAAGAAGTTTAGGTTGAAGAGTTCTGGCTAGGAGAGCCCTTGGTGGCTTTTTATGACCAGAGTGCAAACAAAAAGAACCTTTTCTTTCTTTCTTTCTTTCTTTCTTTCTTTCTTTTTTTTTTTTTTTTTTTTTTTTTTTTTTTTTTTTTTTTTGTTTGTGGCCAGGTATGGTGGTGTAAGCCTTTAATCCCAAACTCTAGAGGCCTAAACCGGTGGGATTCTGTGAGTTTAAGGCCAGCATGGTATAACCTTGTTAGTGATATGGCAAAGAAGTATAGTGAGTACATTTGAAAAAATGTGTTTATGCTTCATTGTGCATTCAAAGCAAAACACTGAAGTAACTCTCAGAAGAGCTGATTCAGGGAAGGTTAAAAATAGCCAACGTATTTGCCACATCACTACTACTTGCTTTGGTAGAATAATCATTGGATAAGGAACAATACTGTATTTATCGTTTGTATTAAATAAAAATTTACTTTAAAGAGCAAAACCTCTGGAGAGATAGTTCAGTGGTAGAGTGCTTGCCTAGCATGTGTGAAGGCCTAGGTTCTACTCCACACACTTTATTATAAAAAGGAAGGAGGGAAAAAGGGGCTAGAGAAGTAGCAAAACTAAACTCTTAGATTTACCAGATCCCTGCTACCTGGGTTTTAAGCAAGCTTCTGTAGTTTTTCTGCCTACCCTAAATTGGGCAAGTTATCAGGTGGAACTTAAATTAATGTAATTGCGGATTAACAGTGCTCTAAAAGTACAGGTTTTTCAGTAGTAACTTGAAAAATAGTATTAGTTGAAAGCACAGAATTCAGGCTTACCTGCTGTTACAGCCTTAGTTTTGGTATTTCAATAGTCTGAGTATCTGACATGTAATAGATGCCAGGAAATGTTAATTCGATGAGATGTGTGTGAATAGATGCAAGAGAAAATTGTTGGCTTCCTCGTTTGTTTTCCAAGTAGAACCTTCACACACTGTCGTCTTGCCTTTTGCGCTTTGCAGTCTTATAACTTCAAAGTTATGGTAGCACTATGTGCTGGTCCTTCCAAATAATGCCCTGTCATATCCAGGTTTGTAATGATGGTAAAGGGATTAGTGTTGACATTTGTATCCATCGTATCATTTGATTTCAAAGCAATATTTTTAACACAGCTTTATATAACTACATAGAGTACAGACTCTGAATTTCAAATCATGCTATACCAAGGAATCACTGTTTGATTTGAACAAATGATTTACCTTCTCCAAGTATCATTCTTTGCATGTGTAATACAAGGAAAAATATTCTGTATTTATAATAAAATGGATAAAGCACATAAAGTTCTAAGCCTAAGTTCTTGCCCCAAAACTTTAGGATTCATCCTCTTGGTGGAATCACTATTGGCTTTGTACCTTGGATTGTCTCCAGAACAAGGACTTCTTCCTTGTTGGCCTCTAAGTCCTGGCTTTGATTGGGACCATTGTAAACCAGGCACTTAAAGAGTCCTGGCATAGTAGCCAGGCAGTGGTGGTACACGCCTTTAATCCCAGCACTCAGGAGTCAGAGGCAGGCGGATCTCTGTGAGTTCAAGGCCAGCATGGTCTACAGAGGGAGTTCCAGGACAGGCTCCAAAACAATACAGAGAAATCCTGTCTTGAAAAACCAAAAAAAAAAAAAGTTGTTGCATGGGATGCTGAAAGCATCTTTCTAAAATCATAGAATTGTTCAGAAGACTAAACATTATATTAGAGAGGTTGCCAAACAGACTTTGAGTTTCACTTTACGCAAATTTATAAAGGACTCAAATAGGACCCTTGGATTCAAATTTGAGCACTGCAGCCAAACTATGTCCCATAGAACTCTGTACTTCTCTTACAAGATGTGTAAAAATTATTTCCTGGCCAACTACTAAAATTGAGTATAATTAGAACATTGAAGAAAAATTTTGAATTACCAGATCAATTGAATACCTGTTGTTTTTTTTTAAAACACTTCTTCACATTAAATGAAAACTGTACATTAAAACATTGTACCATTCTATATTAGTTTTTTTTAATTTCTAGAGAAAAATGTTAACAGGGAGCTGAATATGAATATGGAGAAATGAACAAGTAAGCGTCGCCTGAAGGGACAGAGCAGGGAGAGTAAGTGAGTGCTCGAACATGAAAGCAGACTGTGATGTTACAAGCTGTCAGATCAGCAATGGAAAGGAAGATGATAAAGTAGTGCCTTACATGGTGTAAAACTGCTCATTTTGCCCAGTCTAGTCTCCTTTCCACAGTACTTACAGGAGGGAGCATGGTAGTATCAGGAAAAAAAAAAAAACCTAAGAATCAAGATTTTTCTGGTTATAATTAATATTTTATTTGTCTTATTTCTCTTAAATCACAGATACTTTCCTGTGGGACATTTTTTCAAGTAATTTATTAATGAACAAGACTTAGTTAACAACTATATCAAGTTGTAATTGTAAATTTCCTTCATAGTCAGTATTGCAGAAGCAGTCATTGTGGCTTACAAAACAAGTGTCATTAATGGGCCCAAGTGTGACTACAGTGACAGATAGATTACCAAGAAACAGAATAGTTTACACAGACCTGTCTTAAAAGACGTGTTAGTAATTGTGCCCATAATTAGGTTGATTTGAAAACAGTCTGCAGAATGAAAGCTGATAATGGAAGATTTTCACTTTTCTCCTCCAAGAAATCCTGTATACTCTCCAAATTTCTTTTTACTCTTAGAAAAATGAATAATTGTAGAGAATTGTTTTTTAGTTTTTGAGTTGTGTGATACATATATGAAAGAATGAGCATGGTGTAAATTATGAATCATAGTGACCAAGGTAAGTACTATTTTATTAGAATTTTTAACTGTTCCATTTACAAGGTTTTTGTTACAAATTTCTCAGCAGCAAAGCTAAAGGTAGCCATATAAATGGCAGCAAATATTCAAGCATCCAAGACTATATTCATGTTGCAAATACCCAGGACTGTGTCTGCGCTCCTTCCTGTGCCACCCACTCCCGCAGGCAGTGCTGGTGTGTTAGCTTCTAGCAGAAAACACTGATCCAGAGGGCATTTGAGGAAGACCTCTTCTCAGGACAGCTTTTGTCAAATCATCTGAATCATTGCATCACTTGCTTTGGCTCTCAGTTATTTTCTTATATTCACCACATAAGTAGTACTGAATCCTTTTTCCCTCTTATTTAGTGATTTCTAGTAACTACCAGACCTGTCTCGGCCTTCTGATGCATTATCCACTCATCGGGGACATACACTCACTGATTCTTAAGGCTCTGTTCCTTAGAGACCCAAAGGTAAGCTTTGTGGGGAAAACATGTATAACTGTAAGTTGTGTGAAGAATGGAGCTCTCCATCTGACATATTCCTAATGATTTTTAGAAGTTGTAAGCCAGAGTTCAGCAGCCAGCATGTGGGCATTGTCCTGAGAAACCACACCCAGTCAGTGCCCATGTTCCTCAGTAGGTTGTCCTCACCTTCTTCACCTGTTGCCTTCTGGTTAGCTTAAGGAAATATTTACACACACTTCTCACAGCCAGACTTCCCTACCTTTGACCCCCTCACAAGGGATGACTGACTCAAGTAGAGCTTCTGGGCCACATGAAGTTTAGGAAGAGAAGAGCTATACTAAGGACTACTCCTAGAAGAACAGATCACAAATGGAGTGCTTGTGTGTGTGTGTGTGTGTGTGTGTGTGTGTGTGTGTGTGTGATATCCTAGTTTATAGCTTAAAAGAAACCTAATAAAAATTCAGACAGAATTTAACACTAATTTCTCTATTTGCATGTAAAGCAATTCATCAAAATTTTCTTCATTCTTCACAGAAAAAAAGTGTGCTCTTTTACAATTAATGTTATATTTCTTGAAAATAAGAACATTTAATGATCTAAAAAAAAATTGTGAATCCTTGCGTTTTTTTGATCCAAACAAAAATATTGGATGAAGAGTAAGAGAGAAAGCTTCAAATGCAAGTGTCAGAATGCCAGACACTGGATGGTAATCCCAGCCTTTGGCTCTTTGGAAACTCTCCCAACAGTTTTGTTGGCAGTTGTCAAACTGTCTCTGAGTCAGTCAGTCTGTCTGTGAGTTCTGTTGACAAAGCTCTGTCTGTTCGTCTTGAGTGTCCAAGTATAATAGCAATCTGAGTCTAAAAGACTTTTTTAACCTCTCTGTGGTTGCTGACATTAGCTTATTTTTTTAGTATATTTTCTATTCTATGACTTAGAATTTCCTTTATGCCTAATCTGCTTTTTATAAAATACTAACCTTTATACCATTTCTATTATACAAAAACAATGTTATTAAGCAACAAAATACAATCTGATTTCTTTGCATAAAAAAGTATCCATTTTTAGTTGTGGCTTATGAATACCACTATTTGTATTTTGTGTTTCTGTTTGTATCTATACACATATGTGTTCTGTGACTAAAACCCCACAGGATGATCAAGTAATAGAGGTTGCAGAGATGAAGTTGATAATCCATGATGAGTTTTGGTCTATAGGGTTAAAGCACATACTGTCAGCTCAGCATTAGGAATTCTTAGGGCTAGAAAGTGGGAAATTAGCTAAATTTCAACTTCCTAATTGTATTTTAAAACAATATTTTTATTAATTCTTTGGTAATTTCATAAATATATTTTGCACATATTTACCTCCTTCCCCAAACTCCTCCCAGGTCTATCGTCATCTCCCTAGTCACCCAACTTTATGCCTTATTTTGGTTGTAAATCCATCCTGTCCATCTGTGCTAGCCAAGTACTTTTACATGTAATAATGATATTCCCTGGAGTATGGTCAGCCTACCAGGTTTCACACCCATAATGAGAACTGGCTTCCTTTTCCAGCAGTTATCAGTTGCCAATGGCTCCTCAGCTCAGATGGGACTTCCTGCTCAACTTCCACTCAATGTGAGGATTCTGTCTGGCTAGAGCTTGTGCAGGACCTGTGTATGCTGTTGTAACTGCTGTGAGTTCTTATGTGCAGCTGGGCTGTTATGTCTGGAAAACATTGGTTGGCTGTCATCATCCACCACCTCTGGCCTCTTTCTGCCCCCTAGCCCCCTGTTGTCCTATAAAGCCTTAGAGAAGGGAGTGAGATAAAGATACCCCATTTAGGGCTAGGCACTCCTCTGTCTTTTATTCTATACTTGTTGACTTATTGTGGGTATCCATGTGTCTTAGTTAGGTTTTCTATTGCTATGATAAAACACTGTTACAAATAAGGCAAGTGGGGAGGAAAGGGTTTATTTGGCTTACACTTCCATGTTGCTGCTGATTATTGAAGGAAGTCAGGATCCTGCGGACAGGAACTGATACAGAAGTGTGTGTGTGTGGGGGGGTGTTTACTGGCTTGCTCAGCCTGCTTTCTTACAGATAAAACCCAGGACCCAAGGATGCCATCATTCACCATGGGCTGGGCCCTCCCCCATTCATCGCTAATTGAGAAAATGCCTTCCAGCTGGATCTCAGGGAGCCATTTCCTCAACTGAGGCTCCTTTCCTCTCTGATGACTCCAGCTTGTGTCAAGTTGACATAAAACCAGCCAGTACACCACCATCTACAGCAGGGAGAAACTTCTTAGATGAGTTGGGAATGAGCATGAAGTATACTTTTCTTTGTTCTAACTTCATGCCACAGTAGTGTGCATGCCGCTGACAGATGCAATACAAATCAGCAAAGAACTCCTTAGTAATGCATTGCCCACCTTCACGAAAGCACTTGGCCTTGTTATTGTCCTTAAATTTCCTCATGGAGATTTCCCTCTAGGGGAATATACTCTATGAGTGAAGCCTGAGACAGCAGTCTCTAAGGGTTTTGTAGGGTGGGGTAGACTTAACTTCGGGGGAGATTTTCATTTGATCAGTTTGAAATAACGGATCTGTAAGCTGAGATAACTGGATTATAATTCATCGTTTTTCTAATACTTGAATGAGCTTAATGCAGTCCTCATAGCATCCTTTTGAAGTGAGACAGAGCAGCTTGTCTTCTTCCCTCTTACCATTAGGTTGAGGAAGATTCAAGGCCACAAGCCTGTATGGTGTATATAAGCCAGCTAGAGTGGCTTCTGGACCTTGGATCTATTTCCTCGTCCTGAGAGTCCTGTCTACTTCTTCCAAAAACAAGCCATTTCCACTTTGAGTCAGTACAACACTTTCTATTTTACCTAATCATAAATACTTTCATCAGTTATTTGGTAGGAATGATTCCTGATCCTTTTTTGTCAATTGACTTTGTGTCCTACATATGATTGGTAAAGAAAGTATCTCCTTCAAATGCCATGTCACCTCTAGGACCCCCACATTGACTCTAATCTAGATAAAGCTGACTCACCTGCATATTTATGAAACCTGTATCTGCAAACACACAAACTATGAACAGTGATATATTTTAGCTGCCATTTTTATAGTGAATTAATCTTGCCACTTGACCTTAAGTACCATCTAGTTTCTTATTTGCCGCATCAGAATCCCCTGAAAACTCGTTTCTCCCTTCAAATGTTAGGGAATCAACATGACTCAGTAAAGAATCTGGTTAATGTCATAGAAATGTGGACTCTAAACTTAGCTGTTCAGAGTCTGGCCCTGTTTCACATTTTCTTTAGCACACTGGAGCTTGTGAGCCGGTTTCCAAACATCACCTGCTAAATGAACTTAGAAGGATAGAAGGAGGGCAGTCTGAAAAATATGAAGTGATTAAAAACATTGTTCTAGCTAGTAGTTCAAATTTTTTAAAAAAATTAAACCCAATTAGAAACAAAAGTCATAGAAAATGTGAACATATTGTGTTCTTTAAATAACCAGATGTTCTCTCCTTCCTGAAGGCAGTAAGGGCTAGGGATAGAGGTTTAAAACTATTGTTTTAAGTTAACTGTGAATTTTGAAAATCTGTTTTTACCCTTTAGCAAATAAAATTCTAATACAGAAACATAAGCAAAGTAATTTTCATTTTTGGTGCTCTTATTTGTGTTGTGTATTGAAGTATTAACCTTACAACAAATACTACCAATAAAATACAGCAGGTGGATACCATTTTAGATTATGCAGTAAGAATTTGACAAGTTCCATTTTTTGAAGAGAGACTATTCAGAGAAAATTTCCTAGTAAGTTTTCGATTCTCCCAGCAGTGTCTAGTACTGTTAATAGACAAAGCTACTAGATGTAAGGCAATTTTATAATTATCCTTTATATAGGAGCTCACTAGAAAAATTCTATGTATAATGTTACTTTTTTTTTTTTTTTTACCAATTCTGATCTGTCTTTTGTTTTAACTTGTGTTAATTTTTGGTTTTTGGTTTTTTTTTTTTTTAATTATGAAGTGTCTGAATTTCCATTTTCAGATTTGGGGCTGGTACTTAAAAGTTTTACTCATTTTATTTTTTAAAAAGCACACCATAGTTACAACATTGTTGCCATTGCATAAAAACATTGTAAAATGCCTGTGAGGATTGGAATGTATTTGGTGGGTTCAGATGTAATGGTCAGGGGACATCACTGAATTAAGACCTGTCCCTTTGAGAATGCCATTGTTGTCCTTTCTTTAACCAGGAAAGGATATGAGGACAACCCAGGCTGAGCCTGCAAGGACAGACAGTTCATGGTATTTTTCCTTTCCATGACTCACATGTTTCTGTCGGGTTCTCCTGAGACCCTGTACTGTTTTTAATCCAGTTTTTGTCAGGATTTCATGCTACAGATACCTCTTCTTCAACTTTTCTCCCCAAGATGGAGTATTTCTTTGAAAACTGACATACTTAGGGAGTCTTCTTTTTTATGTTTGTGACACAGGGAAACTATTTTTTCTTTATGAGCTGTGAACTCTTCAACAGACTAGTATACAGTAAATAAATAAACAAGTAGTGGCTTGGTTGTAAAAACTTTAAACAAAGGCTGTAAGTTTTTATTAAACTAGTATTTGGAGTTTATTTTTTCAGGCATCTAAATCAGGTGTTTATCAAAACTAGTTAGAGTTTCTCTAGAAACTTTACATTACTTTGAATTCATTTTGTAACATTTTGTTGTTTGTTTTTCAAGGCATGGTTTCTCTCTGTGAAGCTTTGGAACCTGTCCTGGAACTCACTCTTTCGATCAGGCTGGCCTCAAACTCACAGAGATCCACCTGCCTCTGCCTCCTAAGTGCTAGAATTAATGGTGCACCACCACCCCACCATTTTGTAACACTTTTAATTCGTTAAATTTCTTAACCAGTATTTTTGTGTATTTTCTGTATACTAAACAGTGTTTAAGTGGCAGTGATACATTGATATAATAGTCAACAACAAGAAATGTATGGCTCTTT